CCGATGGGGCCAGCCCCCCTGCGAGCCCCAGCATCATCCCCCGGCTGAGGGCCATTCGCCGTGAGTATCGCCCGACACTCGTGACCAGGCAGTGGTCCACGACCTCTGAGCATACACAGGCCACCAAGCTGGAGGAACAACAGGGACAAGACAGGCGGGTCCCCTCCCCCATTCTCATCAGGGGTCGGCAGACAGCAAAGTGGTATATATATAATAGAGTGAGAAGCTCTAGAAAGGGAAGCAGGGAAGGGAAATAAAGGAGAGGGCCGTTTTACATCAGGGAGGCCTGCGGAAGGAGCTGGGGTTTGAGCAGGGACCCACGTGGTAAGAAGGAGCGAGGAGGGCCAAGATCTGAAGGAAGCGTGTCCCCGCAGGAGGGAACAGCCAGGGCCAAGGCCGGGGGTGGGAATAAGCGAGGCTTGTGTACGGTCCTGGGAGGCTGGCTCTGGGAGGCTGGCTCGGCTGGACTGGAGTGAATGGCAGGGAGGGGAGTAGGTTTGTGGTCAAGCTTTGCAGGGGCCGAGATTTTGCTGGGCCTTGAGAGACGGGCTCGCTGAGGAATCTGATCTGGATTTTATTGTCAGTGCAGTAGGGGCCGTGAGCTGGGCAGGAATGTGATAATACGCACCTTGTCCCTCTGGCTGCTGGGAAGGGTGTGGATTGCGCGAGGCTGGAGTGATGGGGGACGGAGTGATAGGGGACTGACAAGGGGGCGGGACCAGAGCAGGGCTGTGGATGGGAGACAGGGCTACGCGGCAGAGGCACAGCCAGCCCCGTTTGCTGACCCCCTCGAATGTGTTCTGCCCCATCGTGCACCCCTGGCTTCAGGACCCTGTTGGGGCCCCTGCTTGTACCAAGCCCCAGAGCTCATTCTCATGGGGACACCAACAAACACAATGACATATGGTGATAGTACTAACGTCAGGGCGCTTTCAAAGCGTGGAAATGAGAGCAGTGGACTCTCCAGGGAACAAGCTCCCGCAGAGCTGAAGGCTTGAAGGGCAAGTTGCCAACAAGGCGGGGAAAAGGACTGAAAGGAACAGAGTTCCAGGTGAAGGGAACAGCCTGTGCAAAGGCATGGAGGTGTGGAAACACCCACCTGGGAACTGATCAACACGGGCCCCCAACCAAGGCACTAATTGCCCTCTGCCTGCATACCTAGACTCCGTCTCCTCTCTCTTCTCTTCTCCCTCCCTCCACGCCACTCCCACTGGCCTCCTGGCTGCTCTGAACACTCCAGGCGTGGCCAGCCACAGGGCCTTGGCATATGCTATTCCCTCTGCCTGAAATGCTCTTCTCCTTTGTATCCACCTGACTCACCCCCTCACCTCTCTCATGTCTTTGCTCAGATTCCTGCTTGTCAAACATGACCTTTCCTCCCTCTCGGACTCCTTTCCTGCTCTGTCTTCCTCACAGCACTTAGCACCTTCCAACTCCCCACACAAATAACTCACCTCCTACGGATTCTTGCTAGTCATCTGTCTTCACCCCTAAAATGTAAACTCCCAAGGGCAGGGGGGTTTGTCAGCTGTGCCCTCTACTGTCTTCTCAGCACCTCCCACAGGGCTTGGCCTGCGAATAGATGGCTGATGGCCTTGGCAGTGAGGAGAGGAGCAGGGGAGTCAAGGCTGAGCGAAGGCAGGGAAGTACCTGCAGAGCCTGTATGTACTGGACATACAGTCCAGGCTGAGGAGCAAAGACCTTGTCCTAACAGCAGTAGGGAGCTATGGAAGGATTTAGAGAAGGGAAGGGCCGAAGAGCCCTTGGACTTGCTGGTGGACCGTGGACGTGAGAGTGGGGAGAGGAGCCCGGTGGGGACAGACTGTCCAAGACCCAGTAATCAAGTGGCTTCTCTCGGCCCAGTGACTCCTGTGGACGGCGGTGGTGGCAGCGGCGGTGGCAGCGGCGGTGGCGGCAGCGGGACGTGGGGCCGCAGCGGGCCCCCAAAGAAGGAAGAACTGGTTGGAGGCAAGAAGAAGGGCCGGACCTGGGGCCCCAGCTCCACCCTGCAGAAGGAGCGGGCTGGAGGGGAGGAGAGGTAGAGGCATGGGGGAGCCTACCCCTGGCCCTGCACGGCGCCCCCAGGCCCCTCGCGGCCAGAAGGCCTGCACTGCAACCGCCCCCCATCTCTGGCGCCCCCTGCAGGCTGAAGGCCCTGGGGGAAGGAAGCAAACAGTGGTCATCCAGTGCCCCCAACCTGGGCAAATCCCCCAAACACACACCGATCGCCCCAGGCTTCGCCAGTCTCAATGAGATGGGTAAGAGAGCGAGGGTGCCTTTAAAATGGAGAGGGAGGGGCATCCGGAGGGAAACAGAACCCAAGACAAAGAGGTGACCATTACCCCCTCCACATCCCCTCCCCCGCACTGGGGGGAGGGATCCGGCTTCCCTGGACCAGTGGGTGGGCAACATTCCCCAAAGGGGGGAGGGGCAGCCCAGGGTGCCGGGTCATTCCAGAGGCCTTGGGAGGAGAATGATTTGAGAGCCGCGTTTAGTGGGGCGTGGTGGCCTCACCGCCCGGAAAGGACTTTCTCGGGGTGGCCCCTTGCCCCCAGGTCTCCGGGGGCGGCGGGGGAGGGGGCGGCGGCCAGGCCAAGCCCCGGAAGCGAGTGACGGCCCTCTCCCGCTTGCAGAGGAGTTCGCGGAGGCGGACGGAGGCGGCAGCGTGCCTCCCTCCCCCTACACCACCCCGTCCTACCTCACGGTGCCGCTGCCGGCCGAGCCCTCCCCAGGGGCGCCCGCGCCGCTCTCCCGGCCCGGGCACGGCGGCCGGCGGCGCTGCGAGCTGGCCCTGCTGGGCTGCGCCACGCTGCTGGGCGCCGTGGGCCTGGGCGCCGACGTGGCCGAGGCGCGCGCCGCCGACGGCGAGGAGCAGAGGCGCTGGCTCGACGGCCTCTTCTTCCCGCGCGCCGGCCGCTTCCCGCGGGGCCTCAGCCCGCCCGGGCGCTCGCCCGGCCGCCGCGACGACGCGGCCCCCGGCCCGGGCCTGGCGCCCTCGGCCACCCTGGTGTCGCTGTCGTCCGTGTCCGACTGCAACTCCACGCGTTCGCTGCTGCGCTCCGACAGCGACGAGGCCGCGCCGGCCGCGCCCTCCCCGCCGCCCTCCCCGCCCAGCACCAACCCCCTGGTGGACCTGGAGCTGGAGAGCTTCAAGAAAGACCCCCGCCAGTCTCTCACGCCCACCCACGTCACGGCCGCGCGCGCGGTGAGCCGCGGGCACCGGCGGACGCCGTCGGACGGGGCGCTGGGGCAACGGGGGGCGCCTGAGCCCGCGGCTCCCCGCCCTGGTGAGTGGGGCGCCCGCACCTGGGGCGCAGAAAACGACCCTTCTCCCCTTCCCTCCCCCCCAGGGTCCCAAGTCCCAGCCCAGCCGGGATCCCCTAGATGCCGGCGGGGGGGGGGGGCCTGCTTAGCATGGGAGGGAGGGTCTGTGTCCCCATGGTCCTTACTGCTAGAGGCGCCGTGGGTCCCAGGTGACCGAGACCCAGGATGCAGGAGAGGTGGCAAACTAATGCCTCCAGGGGCCAGGTGGGTGGCGTTAATGGCAACAGTGACACCGGAGCTAACACTCGTGTGCTAGACACGGTTCCTCTATAGTTTTTATGTTTGTTTATTTTTTGGGGTGGGGGAGAGAAAATCCCAGGCAGGCTCCATGCTGTCAGCACAGAGCCCATTTCGGGGCCCCAAGTCACAAACTGTGAGATCATGACCTGAGCCAAAATCAAGAGTCTGATGCTCACTGGACTGAGCCCCCCAGGCGCCCCTCTATGATTTGTTAATAGGAGTTAACTACCTACTACCAGGCACTGTGGTACGGGCGTTACAAGCATTGTTTTATTTAACCCTCACCCCTGCAGTGAGCTGCTGTCGTCACCATTCAGAGATCGTGTCGCACCTCTGGTCTCCGTGTGCGCGCACACCCAGCACCACATGCATAGGAGGTGTCAGAGGGACCAGGGCTTTCTCTAGAGGGGTGACGGAGAAACCAGCTCTGATAGGTTAAGGAATATGCTCAGAGTTGCACCTATATGAGGGAGCATTTAGGAGCCGTAGGGGCCTGGGTAAAGCTCCCCCCACCCGCCCCAGAAAGTAAGTGGGTCCAACAAGATCAGCAGATATTTCAAAAGCTGTCAGACACTCCCGTTCCCATGTGAGGATCCTGGCTTTTAAATGCCAGCCTCTGGCCCGCCCCCTTGACCTCATCTGGTCCTCTCTCACCAGGCCCTCGAGACCCCCTGGACTTCCCCCGCCTGCCCGACCCCCAGACCTTGTTCCCCACCCACCGCCGGCCCCCCGAGTTCCCCGGCCGCCCTACCACCCTGACCTTCGCCCCAAGACCCCGGCCGGCTGCCAGCCGCCCCCGCCTGGATCCCTGGAAACTGGTCTCCTTCGGGCGGACACTCAGCATCTCGCCTCCCAGCCGGCCGGACACCCCAGAGAGCCCCGGGCCCCCCGGCGTGCAGCCCACACTGCTTGACATGGACATGGAGGGGCAGAGCCAGGACAGCACAGTGCCCTTGTGCGGGGCCCACGGCGCCCGCTGAGGCCTGCCCGCCGCCGCCCGCCGCCCGCCTGGGCAGCCATGAATGTAGCGCCCCAGGCCCCGCCCCAGCCTGCCGCGCCCCAAGGCAGGGGAGGCCCTGGGCAGGATACCCACTCTATTTATTGGGGAAGGGGGGAGGGGGTCACTTAATTTATTCCTTTGTACCCCAGAGGGTGGGGCCCTGTGCCCAGCCTGCAGTGAGGGGGGAGGGTGGGCAGGGATACTCAGGGACAGGGCACATCGTAGGGATTCGGCACAAAATGCAGCATTAAAGGTAACCCCTGCCCCCTACCGCTCTTGCCTGTGTCTTTTCCCGGCCCGGGCCCTGGTCCTGGGGCGTCCCACTAGGGTCCCCTCCAGCCCCGCACTTCCTCCCTGAGCCTCTGGGTTTCTGCGGTCCAGAGGGTGAAGCCCGGGAGATGTTCCCTTGGTCCCCACAGAACACCACACAGAGAGGTTACGGTCACCAGTGACAAGTGCTTTACCAGCAAACACGCGAGGCAGGGAAAGTTACACGGTGAGGTGGGAGTGGGGGCAGTAACAGTCCCCCAGGCTGGCCTTAGCCTATGACGTCCCGAGTCCCCGGCCCGGCCCCCGCCCTGGCCCCGCTGTCTTCCCGCTGGAGGCTGCAACGGTTCATCTTCAGCTGGGTGAGCTGGATGTAGCGCAGGACGTTGGTGTCTGCGGGGGAGGCGGGCACGGCATTACCTGCTGTCCTGGGGCAGCTCACACCTCATTGTGCCCAGCCTTCGGTGCCTACCGCGCCCCCCCACCCCCGTACAGCTGCTGTTGCCAAAGCCTTTCCCCCAAAGCCCCACAGGCAGAACGCGGGCACTTCACACCTCCACAATTTTGCTGTGCCCTCTGCCAGGAATGCCTCTGCTCACAGACTTCTGTCGTAACCTCCCCCCCCCCCCCATCCTCCGATAACATCTGCAGGAAGCCTGTTCTCCAAACCTCTCACCAGTCTTGCCTCTGCTCCCACAGCCCTATGTCCTGTACGGGCTGTGCGCCTCTTCACTGGCCCCCAATACGAGACTGAGTAGTGTGCCTGCACCGCCCCCCCCAACACACACACCCCGACCGTGATGTCCCAGAGGGCAAGCAACAAGCCTCCAGCTCGGCCAAGCCCGCCCCTGCAAATGTCTTGGCATTGCCTGCCCTGGGGTCTGCCTCCCTGCAGGTGCTCAAGTGGTGGGTGGGTGAGGAGGTGAGTGAATAGGTAAGGGTGTGAATGGTTCGTGAGCGGATGAATGAGTGGGGGGGGGGGTGAGTGGATAGGGAGTGGCTGAGCAGGTGAGTGGGAGGCTCAGGATGAGTCAGTGACTGCATAGATGGGAGGTGACTGGGTGCATGTCAGAGGAACAGGGGTGAGTGAATGGGGGGTGAGAGTGCCTGCGTGGGTGTGTAAGGAGTAGGTGGATGGAGAGGTGAATGCTGGGTAGGAGGCACAGGGCTCCCTCGAAGCACCTCGGCTCTGCTCCTCCCTTGTTCCCTTGTTTCCTCGGCTCCAGCCCCTTGCCCTGCTCCGTCCGCCCTCACCTGTGGGCTCCCGGCTGCGGGCCTCCTGCAGATAGCGCAGCGCGCGTGCATAGTCGCCCAGGTGGTAGAAGGCAATGCCAGCGCGGTAGGTGGCCTTGAAGTTGCCCTGCTGCTTCTCCAGGACCTTGAGACAGTACTCGCGCACCCGCTCATAGTTCACCAGCTCCGACTGCAGCAGGCAGGCTGCGGGGACACCGGGAACGGTGCTCGCAGAGCCTGACGGCACCCCCAGAGCTCATCTGACTGCTAGGAGCCCGGCGTTCAGGCTGCAGGAAGCCCCAGCCCTTTCCCTTGGCCGAGCCGGGCCTGAGGGACAGCTCAGGGCACCGGGGCCGCCAATCTTCAGACCAATCGGGATAGAATCAATCTGCGCCGCCGCTAGAGGGCGCGAAAACACAGCCGCTCCCGGGCAATTAGCGGGGAAGTTTGCGCAGAGGAGAGTACTAAGGACAATCTCAGGTGAGGGGCGGGGCCTTGAATCGGTAATCTAGGGTAAGATTTTCTCACCTGAGGTTCGCAGCTGACAGCCCAAAGCCCATTTCTTGCTTCCCAGCCCTTCCATCCCTGTATTCCCCTACATCCCCAATCCCTCTCCTTAATAAGTTCTGGGGTCTCCCTCGCCCAGGTCTGTTCCATCCAAGCCTCCAGCCCCCAGCTCAAGGCTCCATGATTGCCCGTCACTCCCCACTCCTCTCCCGTATGCACCCTGTGCGCCCCCCGACGGCCCCGTACCCGTGAGAGAGTCATAACATTCCACCTCCGTGTTCTCCACCAGGCGCCGCTGCTCCTCGCTGAGGCGGGCTGGCCCCGGGCTGCTGGCGGGCCCGGGGGCGGGGGCGGGCAGACCTCCAGGGCGGGCCCCCTGCGCCGCCTTCAGCTGCAGCAGTGCCCGGTGGTACTTGCCGATGGCTTCCCGGAACTTCTTCTCTCGGTAGCAGCGCTGGCCCTCCGCCTTGAACGCCACGGCAGCCCGCAGGCTGCTGTCGAGCGCCGCGCCCAGGCCCCCCGACGGCTCTGGGGCAGGGCTGGGCCGAGCCGAGCCATGGCGGGGGCCCGGGCCCGGCGGGGAGAGGGCGGGAGGCGGGCGCGGCGGAGGCTCCGGGGCAGCGCTGAGCATCAGCACCGGGGACAGCGCGCCGCGCTGCATTGTGGGAAACTCCTGCGGCCGCCGCTGCAGCTACCGCATCGCCCCCCGCGGGGCCGGTCCCCACCCTTTCTCCGCCCCCGCACCTCCGGCAGCCGACTCCGCCTGCCCCCTATGGGTCTAGAGAACCCCCTCAGGACTTCGCCATTCTATCCTCCAAATCAGCCCAGGCCCAGTTCTTCAGCCGGCCTCTCCCTTCTTCCCACTCCCCTTACCTCCCACCCTCCAGCCTGCTCTCCTCCCCCATGCCCAAGGCTCCCAAAGCTTTCTAGAAGGAAAAGACAAGTCTGGGGGAAAGAGCAGGAAGATATCAATCTCGTGGAAGCTGGTTTTCAGACCCCTAGGCATTTCACATATTTGGATAAGAACACAGGTTATGCGCTCAGGCTGCCCAGAGTCAATTCCCTGCTTATTTTCTCACTAGTTGTAGCACTTGGACGCGTCACCCAAATTACCTGGGACTCTATATCCTCATCGGTAACATAAAACAATGATAGCAGCTTGGAAACTCATTTGTTCATCTATGCAACAAATACTCCACTGATATCTTTTCTGTGACCAGCTCTGGTCTGGGTGATGCCGGGAAAGAGCAGCTCCTGAGAGCCTCAGACCCTACCCTCTCTGAACCCCTAGTCCATAGGGAGACAGACCAGTGACCCGACAGTGACAGCCCAGAGTGGGCTCTCCTGGGAAGCACAAGCAAAGTGGCCAGGGTGGGATGGGGAGACACAGGCAGGGGGTGGAACCCTGGATAGGGGAGACACAACAGGCTGTGAAGGTCCAGAGGAGGTGCCTGCCCTAGACTGAGGTAGTGAGCGAAGGCTTCCTGGAGGAGGAGATCACTCTATAAACAAAAGTGATCTGCTTCTTGTCCTCACTGAGCTGTCTGGGGCGGAAACACAGTGGGAAAGCAGACAAGAGACAGCCCAGAGTGAGCAGCACAGGAACGCAAGAGTGCACAGAGAAGGAAGCGAGTGAGAGGCTTTTGAGAGAAAAACAGGGTGAACGAGATGGTTGATCTTCAACTCCCCTTAGCTGCTCACTTGGTGGGGGGACCTTAGCCAAGCTCCTTGATCCTCCTCCACCTTGCCTTCCTTCTGTGTGACCTGGGGATACTACATGAGTGCACTTCAGAGTAGTTGTAGGGACTGAATTATGTCATGTAGATAAAGCACATGACACAGGGCCTGGCGCGGAAATGGGCAATTAACAACCCCTGTTTCTTATCACCCCAGACTGAGGTGTGTGATCTCAAGTGCCTGGCCCCAGTCAGCATCCATGCATAGCTGTTGAATGAGTGAGTGAATGAATAATTTCATGTAGTTTATGTATTCCCACCCCCAGCCCCCGCCCCTGCAGAAACCCTGGTTTGGGCCTTAGCTCCAAGCAGCAAGCTTATCTCCCCCCTCTCCCTGCCGCCGCGCATCCTCTTTCTGGAGGCCACATGACAGGTCCCACCTGACAGGTCCAAAGCTGAACTCAGCACCTAACTATTTTCTGAGCACCTACTAAATAGCTAGGTGCCAGGGGCTCGGCAGAAACAGGGGCCAAGGGAACCCGGCTCACAGTCCTGCTAGGATGCAGCGCTAGCTATTTCCACAACACCTGCTAAGTGTCAGGCACTGTTCTAAAGTTTTACGTGCTTATTAACTCACATTCTCATCACACCTCTATGAGGTCGGTGCTATAATTATACCCATTGACACTGTGGCACTTTAGGGGTTAAGTAAATCAGATCCTATTTAGAGAACACCTGCTACTCAAAGACCTATACTACCACAAACTGACGAATCTCACAGGCCAGCATATCATACGTGATGTGCTCGGCGTGTGCAACCATTAAAAAATATTGAATTGGTTGCTAACATATAAATATAGAGATACTTATGGAACTGTAGATTTTCAGTTACACTGGAACACAATCTGAAAATCTGGCAACACCGAGGTAGCTTTCCTTATGACGGGGACAGGCGTTCTCAGCTTCCCACAGTCCCCATCGCTCCTAGTTTCTTCTCACCGCTGAGATCGAGAGCCATGCAGATTGCAGCCTCTCTGTCTATTTATCTCCTGGAGGCGTTTGCGCTTGGGATGCTAGTTGTAGGTCGCGGAGCCGCGCTTGCGGAAGTCCGCCAGTGCCCCCTGGCGGAGAGGTCCAGCATTCGCATCGTATGTCCCCGCCGCCATTAAGAGATTTGGTAAAGAACATCCAATCAGAAAGATGAGAGACCCGGGAACTGACCAATCAAAAGCGAGAGAGGGGTCGGAAGTCGCCCAACGAGGACAGAGAGCGGTCGGAATTAAAAAAAACCTCTTTTATTGAACTGGGAGAAGGAAAGACGCGGGGAGTCTTTTTTGATGGGGTGTCCAGCCTCAGGGAAGCCCGGGCTGGGGGCGGCGGAGCAGGCGGGCGGCGGCGAGGCTGGTGCCCTGCAGCTGGGGCCGCGCGTACTTGAGGAAGATGGCTGCGCGGCCGGGCGCGGGGCCTCGGAGCGCGGCGCGGGCCATGCACGGCTCGAGCGGGCGCAGCTCCGCGGGGCTGCGGCGGGGAGACGGAGAAACTGAGGCGGGGGCAGGGGTGAAGACCACCTGTCCTCGGACCAATCAGGGGCTCTCGGGAGGTTGCAGTGGAGGGCGCCGAGGACTGGCAGACTCCCGATTCTCCCCGCAGGGCGAGGGTGGACAGACAGCCAACTGTCCCTTGTGTGTGTGGAGGGGGGGAGGGGATGGACAGGGCGAAAAGAGGGCTCACCCTGGCATCCAGTTAAATTGTCAATAGGTGGGGAGGGCGCCCCTCTAGACACCCCACCTGCGGCCAGAAGGGCAGCTGGGGGAATCGAGGTTGGCATACCTCTCCTTCTCAACCTTGGGACGCGGTTAGAGTATCTTCCCGGCCTCGGAAGAGCCTATCTTCCACCCTGGGGCAAGGTTAAGGGTCCCCAAATCTGGACAAACACCTCATTCTCGGACACCCCCAGACTAGACAGGCACACCATTTTCTCTCACATCCAGAAAAATCAAGTCTGGGTGCACCCCGCCCTCCCCGCCCCCAAGGTCTCCCAGTCTCTGAGACTGTAAAGACTGTGACCAGGAAAGCAGATCCCTGTAGCCACGGACGCCCTCCGCTGGAGCCGTACCTGTAAAGCGCCGGCTCCAGGCCGGAGCCCGCCCCGTCGAGCAAGCGGTGCGCCAGGCTCAGCGCCGCAGCCGCGCGCCGACCCGGCTCCCATCCCGCTGCCTCGGCCTCCAGCAGAGACAGCTCCAGAAAGTAGGTGGCAAAGAGCGTCACCTGCCAAAGCCCCGGGGAGATGAGGCCACGCCCCTACTCCCATACAGGCCACGCCCCTGCCCGCTCGAGACTTGCCCTGCCTCCCTCCCTCCACCTCCCCTACCCCGCACCTGGGGGCTGCTCCCGGCCAGCGCAGCGAGGAGCCCCAGGCAAAGTAGCGGGCCCGGGTGGTGCAGCCGGAAATCCAAGCGGCTCAGGATGCGGCGCTCTGCGCGCAGGAGCTCGGCCCGCGAGAAGGAGCCAGCGCCCAGGAGGCAGAGAGAGGCACACTGCGGGTTGGGGGTGGGGGGAAGAGGTGGGAGAGTGTTGGACCCTTGCCCTGTAGCGCTTCAGTCTCCGTTCTGGACCTCGATTTCCTAGTCTGTAAAGTGGGGCCATTGATCTGATGTCTGGAAGCCATGGAGAGCACAGGCTTCAGAATCCGAAAGACCTGGGTCGAGTGTGTGTGACAAGGACATCGCTGAAGCTCAGAGACTCCGTTTCCTGGTCTATAAAACGGAAATATCACTCCTTCCGACGCCAGGCAGCTCTGATAAGGCACTGGCTCGAACTACTCAGGGACCACAGCAACCATAACTGTTCAAGACTGAGTCCAGGTCCCACCTGTTTTGGGCAAAGTGTCTTTCTCTGGCCTCAGTCTCCTCCTCCGGTAAAGGGGCACATTGGTAGCCCTGACCTCCTACAGATATGCTGCGATTCCAAGAGGGAGTAAAGCGCGAGCTCGGCACACAGTAGGTGTTTCATCTGTGAGGAGGTGAGAGAGGGTTCCACCCTGCCAAGCCCCACTCCGGAAGTACCTCGGGAAGCACGCATTCTTCCATTTTGCAGGCCACGAACAGGCAGGCCACGCCCAGCAGCTGCAGGCGGTGTAGGCGCACTCGGCCAGCGCGCAGGTAGGAATCGAGCAGGTGCACCGCCAGGTAGAGCGTGTCCCCCGCCAGGCCCAGGTACTCCTGGGGAGGGGCGTGAGTGACCACCAGGGATCTAGGCTGAGACTCTGGCCCCGCCCCTGCCCCCGCCGGGATACGTACGTGCACCTGGATCAGCCAGTCCACCACCAGCGCGCGCATCTCCGGGGTCACGGTGCGGGGCAGGGCCCTTCGGGGCAGCGCGCGGCACACCTGGGGTTGGGCAGGCGCGGCCTCACTCTCCACACCTGTGCTCCGGCTTCTTGCCCCAGCTCCAGCCCTAAGTGCGGCAGCCTCCTCGCACTAGCTGGAGAGAGCGTGAGTGCGCCGCCCCCCAACCTGACCTCCAAAGTCTTGTCCAAATGTGCCTCTATTCCAGGTCTCCATTAGAGCCTTGGACCTTGTTCCGGACGCCTCCCTATCCAACTCTCCAGTCTGTAGCCCCCATGGCCACGGGTCCCCCTGAGCATCAACCCCTGGGTTTCCAGACCACTAGTGGTCACCAGCTCTCAACCTATCCTCAGACCGCCCCTCCACTCCCCCATCCCCCCGCAAGGGTCTTTCTAAAATACAAATCTGGCCAAGGAACTCCCCAGCTTAAAACCCTTTCGTGGCAGGGCGCCTGGGTGGCTCAGCCGGTTGGGCATCCGACTGCAACTCGGGTCATGATCTCACGGTTTGTGGGTTCAAGCCCCATGTCTGGCTCTGTGCTGACAGCTCAGAGCTTGGAGCCTGCTTCGGATTCTCTGTCTCCCTCTCAAAAATAAACATTAAAAAAACAAAACAAAACACCTTTCGTGGCTACCAGGATCCTCGGGAGAAAACCCTAACTCGTCTCTGACTCTCAGACGCTGCCCCCCACCCCGCGCCAACACCACCACCTTGTCTTCCCTCACAACCCAAGCTCCAGCTACACCAGCCTTCTCTAGCCCTAGACTATGCCAAGCTCAACCCCACCCCAGGGCCTTTACACTTGTGCACTGTTCCCTCGCTTGCAACCATCCTTCCCCAGCTCCTTACATTGTTGATTCCTCAGCGGTTCAAACCTCAGCTCAGATTCCCGGGACTTTTCCTATACAGAATTCTCCCTGCACCCACTGCGCTCTGTCTCCTTGTATTTTCAGTCTGGTGTTTCCTTGTGCGTTTTGTCCGTCTGTCTCCCTAGGCTGCTGGCACCACAAAGGGCAGGGGGTTCTCTCTGGATCACAGCTATATCTCAGCTCCTAAAAGAGTCCCTGGCTGGGGAGAGACACTCACAAGACGTTTCTTAAATAAATTCACCCCTGTAGCGCCTGCCTTGAACAGGGATCTGCGGATTTACCGGGCCTGCACTTTGGTCTCCATGGCCTTTCTGGAATGACCGCCTGCATTGGCTCGCTTGCCCACAGTGAGAGCAGACTAGGTTACTCATGACAGCGTCCCCAGGGTCGAGAACATGCTCAAAAGCATTTGTTAAGACATCACTCAGGGTAGGGGCGCCTGGGTGGCTTAGTCGGTTAAGCGTCCGACTTTCACTTAGGTCATGATCTCGCGGTTCGTGGGTTCGAGCCCCGCGTCGGGCTCTGTGCTGACTGCCAGCTCAGAGCCTGGAGCCTATTTCAGAGTCTGTATCTCCCTCTCTCTCTGACCCTCCCCTGCTCACGCTGTCTCTCTCCTAGGAATAAAAATAAAAATATTTAAAAAAATTTTAAAAAAAAAGATCACTCAGGGTCTTGTAAGCGAATACATGTGAGAGGCAAGCGGGGAGGGGCCGTGCGGTAGCAAAGGCAGGGCCGCAGGCAGAGGGGAGGTCCGGAAGGGCCTTGGAGCCGCCAGCCTCCGCCTCACCTACCCCGCCGCCCCTCTGCTGCCTTCCGGGGCGCGCTCACCATGACCTCGGCGAAGATGTCCCCAGCGTACTCGCGCTCTCCCGCCAGCCCCAGCGCGCTCAGCGCCTCCGCCAGCCCCGGCGGCACGCGCGGCCCCGGCGGGGGGCGCTCCTGGCGTCCCGGACACGCGCTCGTGCCCTCGCGGATGCCGTCGGGGACTGGGGACGCGGGGCCCGGCGAGGCAGCGGGGCTCTGCAAGAGAGAGGAGGGATCTGGGGGTCAGCTCCTGGAGACAGCCCCGAGCCGGGGGCACGGTGGAGGGGGTGGCGGGACCCTGGCCGCTGCAGCTCACCAGCATCGTCCAGGCCGGCGTCGTCGGGGGGCCAAGCCCAGCGCCCGCCTCTTCCCGCTGGAGCTGAGGCCTTGCGGCGGCGGGCGCTTTAAACGTGCCTGCACGCATGCGCGCCGAGCGCGCCTCCCCGGCGCAGGTGCAGGGGCAATGGCGAACGGCCCCTCCAAGCCTAAGGTCAGGCGGCTGGAGTCAGATCCTCTCCCCGCTAACTGTATGATCAGAAACAGCCCCTGCGGAGCCTCCCTCTCCTCAGCTGCGAAGTAGGGATTGTTCCCAAACGTCTAAGTGGCCACACTGGACTGGCGCGGCCACGGCCTCGCTGCTCCGGGGTCCCCGCCGCCTGTGGTCCGTTACCCCCTTTCAGCCAGACGAGATGCTGTGCGCACCCAAGTGAGGTCACAGCCTGCCTCTGTTCAGCACTCCGTCGTGTCTCCCACCTCAATGTGAAAGCCCACGAGGCCCTCTAGTTTCCTCCCCACCATCGCCACGCACCTTTGAGCCCATTTCCCACCCCCCTCCCCGCCCCCACTCGTGCGTCCTGCCACAGCGGCCTCCTGGCTCCTTCTCGCCCACACAAGGCACGCGCCTACCCCGGCACCTCGGCACTGGCTGTTTCCTTTGCCCGAAATGCTCTTCCCTCAGAGATCCCTCATTTAAGGTGTTTACTCAGGTGTCGCCTCCTCTGTGAAAAAGGCTGTCCGGAGAATTTCCTCGCCCCACTCGTTGCACTTCTTCTCCCGTGAGCACTCACTGCCTCGTCTTATTTACTCTCTCCCGACGAGGATGTGAACGCCATGAGTGCAAGGCTTGCCTTCTGTCTTGTTTTGTTTTGACTGCCGTATTCCTAGTGCCTAGAACAGGGGCATGTCCTCAAGAAATAGTTGTTGGATGAGTGAGTGAACAGGCTGAATATAATTCACAGACGGTGGCTTGCAAGGGCCTGAGGAGGTGATGTGGGAGTGAAACCTGAAAGACAAGGAGCCAGGAATGCAAGGGCGGGGGGGGGGGTACGGAATTTTCTAAGTGGTGGCAACAATAGCATGAGCAAAGGCACTGAGGCAGGAAAGAGATGGCTATTTTCAGGCACTGGGAGGGCAGAAAGGCTGGAAAAGTGAGCGGAGCGAGGATTGTGAGATGCTGAACCAGCAGCTTCCTGTCAGGCTTACAATAAAACCCAAACTCCATACCTTGCCCACAAGACCCCTTCGCCCACTGTTACCTCTCTAACCTCATTTCCTTCCCCACCCCCCTCCGTTCCTTTTGACGCACCCCCGGCCTCTTCACTTTCCCCAAACACACCAGGCACCCGCCTGCCCCAGGGCCTTTGTGCTGGTTGTTCCCTTTGCCTGAACACTTGGGGCAAAATCTAGGTATTAACATTTTCAGAGTAGCTCTACACAAGACTAATTACAAAGGGCGCATAGTAACCTTACAGCGGAGAGATGTGACAGACCCCACCTTGAGCAAGGGACCAAAGTCACCACGAGTCATGGGACAGGATCTCATGTACCTCTTGAGAGGCTGCACCGAGAAGGGCACATGTTTCTGAAAATCCGCGTCAAAGGTAGCTTAAATAGGACCGTAAGGAATCTCTCCGGGGGGGACACTCTGTAAAATGACTGCCCGGCAAGCGAATGCAACATGGGAGTCATTAATCAGGTGATTTTTATTTGGGTGTGACCATTAGTCAAATTTGATAAAGATCTGAGAGAAGAGGGTTGTTTCAATATTAACTTCCTGACCTTGATAACTGAACTGTGCCAGAGCATGTTCTCATGTAAGAGAATGTTCTTGTTTTAGGGCGGATATGTAAATATGAAGGGGGAGAAGGAGGGAATAAACATAAAATGTCACGGGAACCTGTGTGAAGGGTAGATGAGAATTCTTTGTACTTTTTTTTTTTTTTTAAAGTAGGCTTCATGTCCAGTGTGGGAGCCCACCGCAGGGTCTGAACTCATGATACTGAGATCAAGACCTGAGGTGAGATTGAGTCAGACACTTAACCGACTGAGCCATCCAGGTGCCCCTGCATTTTTTAAAAATATTTTTGACACAGAGAGGGGCGCCTGGGTGGCTTAGTCGGTTAAGCGTCCGACTTTCGCTTAGGTCATGATCTCGCGGTTCGTGGGTTCGAGCCCTGTGTCGGGCTCTGTGCTGACTGCCAGCTCAGAGCCTGGAGCCTGTTTCAGTCTGTGACTCCCTCTCTCTCTGACTCTCCCCTGCTCACGCTGTCTCTCTCTCTCCCCTAGAAATAAAAAAAAAAAACAAAAAAAACAAAAAAAATAAAAATATTTTTGAAACAGAGAGAGAGGGAGGGAGAGAGGGAAGAAGACACAGCACAAGCAGGGGAGGGGCAGGGAGAGAGGAAAACACAGAATCTGAAGCAGGCTCCAGGCTCTGAGCTGTCAGCACAGAGTCCAATGAAGGGCTGGAACCCATGAACTGTGAGATCATGACCTGAAGTCAGACACTCAACCAACTGAGCCAACCAGGCGCCCCATAAATAAATAAGTTTCAAGCAGATTTATGGGAAGTTGCCAAGATAGAAGTGTTCCCCCTACACCCCATACCTAGTTTCCCTCAACACCTTAGTGTTGTCACGTGAACCGATACCATCCTAATCACCTATCAAGAGCACTTCCTGCCAACTTAAGATGCCCTGTCGATGTTGACCTTGGTCGCCTGCCTGATACAGTGTTTGTCAGATTTCTTCACTGAGAAGTTGCTCCCCGTCTTTCTATACCGTCCACTTTGGAAGTCACTTTGCAGCCCACCCGTAAGGAGTGGGGGATATGCTCCCCCTCCTTGAAGGCACAGCACCTATAGAAATTCTACAGAAATGACCTGGAATTCCATTCACATACGTCCATTTGCACCATTTACCATCTATCCTCAAGCGAACTTGTTTACTGTGTACTCTGGGTATAAGCCAGTACTATGCTATTTCTTTCTTTCTTTTTTTTTTTTTTAATGTTTTCTTCATTTCTGAGGGAGGGAGAGAGAGAGTGTGAGCAGGGGACGATCAGAGAGAGAGGGAGACACAGAATCTGAAGCAGGCTCCAGGCTCTGAGCTGTCAGCACAGAGCCCGACGCGGGGCTCGAACCCACGAACTGTGAGATAATGACCTGAGATGAAGTCGGACGTTCAACCGACGACTGAGCCACCCAGACGCCCCTATGCGATTTCTTTTGTTGCTCAAAGTACTTTCAACTCTGCCCAGTGGGAGTATTTTCCATTGGCTCCTGTGTGCCTTCACATATTCCTAAGAGTAAGGCTCTGCTTTGCTGTTTTTTTAAGTTTATCTATTTGAGAGAGACAGAGACAGTGTGAGTGGGGGAGGGGCAGAGAAAGAAAGAGAGAGAGAGAGACAGAGAATCCCAAGCAGGCTCCTTGCTGTCAGCACGGCCAGACTTGGGGCTTGAACTCACAAACTTCAAGATGACGACCTGAGCTGAAAACAAGAGTCAGACGCTTAACCGAGTGAGCCACTCAGGCACCCCTGCTTTGCCGGGATTTGAGCAGGTCCTTAGCTTGGGGCCCTACAAGATGCTCCAGGCCTAGAATCATTTTAGTACAATTTCTAAAAGTGTTCTACCAGCCTACAGTTACTTAAAAAATAAAGTTAAAAATCCATAAATCACCACACATTTTTTGGAAAACTATCAGACACATATTAAAATACAGCCACCATGGGGCACCTGGGTGGCTCAGTCGGTTAAGCATCCGACTTCAGCTCAGGTCATGATCTCATGGTTCGTGGGTTCGAGCCCCGTGTCGGGCTCTGTGCTGACAGCTCGGAGCCTGGAACCTGCCTCAGATTCTGTGTCTCCCTCTCTCTCTGACCCTCCCCGCTCATGCTCGCTCTTTCATAAATAAAACATTGAAAAAAATAAAAATACAGCCACCCTGGAATGTGGGCCACAGAAGTGCCAAAAAGCTGGATCATTAAGGTCTATTATGGCACTGTTGGTATCAGCAAAACATCTGGAGACAGAGGTCTTGTCAACTCAGGGTGGGGTCTGGATTGGGTGAGGCACACCCGCCTCATGGAAGGGACCCTCATGAAGCAAGGTCCCCAAGATGCAGAGACAGGGAGGCCCTCATCTCACCAGTGACCAGGCCACCCTTGTAATGTAGGCGCGTCGGGAAGATGTGGCAGGTGTAGCTGGGGTCTTGGCATTAGTAACCGGGACAACACAGCACAAAAGGGAGAGACCCTTCTCGTGATGCCAACGAGTGCACCAGGAAGGGCTCGCAGGGCCTGGGCTCTTCATGGACTTTCGCTTTTTCCTCCTCATACTTCGGTCTTGCTTGCATTATTCACACACACACAGACACGCGCGCGTGCGCACAACAGAAGACAGATTAATCTACTCAAAATTAAATTTTTCCAACTGGTAAAATTTTATTATGAAACCTCTTCCACCTGAAACTCCCTTTGGAAAAAGTTCTATAGAAGGAAGCACCACTATGTCTGGGGTCTATGTTCGCCCGAGGGAAGGGATTCGCTAGCCTGTGGGCCCTGAGTCAGGGACCCAGGACTGCCAGGTGGCCTAGCGGCCTGAGGTAGGTAGGCTCAGGATTCCCTTGGGCCGGGGGGGGGAGACGATGTGAGAAGGAACTGGCACCGGCCACCTCCAGGGCCTTGACTGGAGGGAAAAGTAGGCCGTTCTTGAGAAGCTCCTCTGCTGCTGGCCCGAGACCGCCAGGACACGCTTTTGTAATTAGATAAATAATAAAGTCCGTGTGAAGACCCAGCCATGCCTACCTGGGGTCTAAACCGGCCCTGACCTCTCTCTGCTACCCTCCCTCAAGATCTCAAGGACTCCGAGCATACGGAGCAGCCCTAACACGTTCCGGCAAAATCACCCGAGCCGGGGCAGCCCTGGTTCCCAGGCGCGGGAAGAGCAGCTCAAACATGGGCACCGCAGGATAGAGGGGACAACTGTCAGGATCCTAGAGCTGGGAGGGCTGTGACCAAACCGGAGGCACCCACCTCGATTCCCATCCGCACGCCGAGGATTCTGTGTTGGAACTGGGGGGCCTCCGGGCTCCCCAGTTTGGCTAAGTGGGGAGGGAGAAGGGGACCGCATGCGGTGCCCAGCCCTGGGACTCAAGGGCCACGTGAACGGTGCCCGCTCCCGCACTTGCACCCCCAGAGCTCAGGGGCGCCTGGCACGCCCTCCTTGTTCAGAGCCAGCCGACCACCCCACCATCCCTCCACCCCCCACCTCTCCACCTGGGAGTTTCAGAAGACGGGGAATGGTCTCTACCCGCCAGACTGCCACAGCCCAGGCCCGGGCAGCTTCCCAAAGTCCTCGGCGGCGCCCACCCGCAGCGGCGCCCACACGGAGGCCTGCAGCCGAGGGGAGCACAGCTCCAGAGGGCCAGGCCCTGCCACAGGGCACAGGTCCTGGGGGCGGGTCAGTGGGGTCGGGCTCCGCAGGCAAGTAACGGCCCAGGGCGGTGGGCCCCGGTCTGAAATGAGTCTTTATTGCTTGTACCGTACAAATGGGAGGAATGGGGAAGGCCGGTGGGGAGGACAGCGAATTGTCAGATAAACGACATACGCACACAGAAAGGAAAAGGACCCCCCACCCACCCAAACCAACCCTCACCCCACCCTAGGATGTCTCTCTCCAAACTACCCAGTACAGGAGGTGGGGTGGGGAGATCAAAACCACAACTAAATTCCACACACCGAGAGATGTTGGGGGTGGGGTGGGAGGGAGACTGGGTCACAAATGGACCCCAGGCGTGGCCCTCCTGCCGCGCCAGCACCTCCCCCCCCCCCCCGGGGGATGAGATGCTCGGGCCCGGGGATAGGGCCCAAGCCCACACGCACCACACACTCAAGGCCGGGACACGCTTGCCCTCATGCACGCATACCCCACACGCACGCACACGCACATACACACACACCCATGTGCATCCACATCCTGGACGCACAGGGACACCCACAAACACACATGGCCTGAGGCACGCGCCCCCATGCCCACAGTACGGACACACGTTCACCTTAAGGCTGCAGAACGTGGGGCCCGGAAAGGGGGAGGCAGAAAGGGGCCCTGGAGTCTCCCTTCTCAGAGGCCCCCACCCCACCCCCTCTTTGACCCCAGGCCACGGGGCCCAATACTGTCTCGGTGCGAGATGTGTAACAGCCGGGGCTGGCACCCCTCCGCCCCAGGCGGAAAGAAGGGCGCGATCCCAGCCCCCATCCTTGGAAAGGGCTGGGGCTGGGCCCGGGGCGCAGCGGGACTTAAGGGCAGCCGGAAGGAAGCCCTGGTAAGGCACAGGACTGGGCGGCGGGGAGGCCGGGCCCCAAATGTTCCTCCTGCCTCATCCACAGGGTCAGGAGAGCAGCTTGAGGCTGGGGAAGGCGGGGCGAGGAGGCAGTGCCCATCCCCCAACCACACGGGGGAGCCCCGGACCCCCCATCTGGCACCTTCCGAAGGCCCCTGCCTGTCCCTGGACATTATTGCTTCTCTGCCCCTGTGGGATGAGGGGCTGGGCTGCCCGAGCCAGGCCGCTCTGAGCCTGACACCAGGGCACGGAAGGCAGCACCAGGGCACTGTCCGTGGGGCGGTGTGTCCCACGAGTGTCCCACGAGGTGTCCCACGAGAAGGCGGCCTCTGACAGAGATGGACTGCCTGCAGGCGTCTGGCCAGAAATCCAGGCAGGCCGCACGGCCCCACGCTTTGCCACACACCAGGGCTTGTGTCGATTAAAAACTGGAATCCCTCCAACCGCCCACAGGCCTGGTCCTGGGGCAGGCAGCGGGGAGTCTCCCAAAGCCTGGTCTGGGGACAGAGGTGAGGACAGGCCGGAATCCTGGAGGCAGGGCCGCTGGGACCGCTGAGGTGAGTTTGGCAGAGGGCTGAAGAAAAAACTGGAAATGGGGGTGAGCGGGTGAGGGACGGGGATGCAAACAAAAAAAGGCAAAAATAAAAAGTTTAAAAACAAGAGAAAAGCCCCCGGGTGGCGATGGCAGCCGTGCGTGTCCTGTGGCGGTGGTGGCGGCAGGCGGCTCTGCTCACTCCCGGATGCTGGCTGAGTACGAGAACTGGGGGAAGTGGGTCCGCTGGTCCAGTTCGAGGGAGCCCAGGCTGTCATCTGTGGGGGGCGGTGGGAAGTGGATCGGAGAGAATGGACCCACAGGCGGCCCGGCGCCCTGACCCCGACCCCGGGAGCAGGCAAGGGGACACGGGGGCCCGGGAAAGGGTGCAGGTGGCGAGAGCCCCCAGCCGGTGGGCCATCGGTGAGACCCACCCCCCCGCCTCTGGCACCACACTCTGGTCTAGCCTAGACCCTTGGCCCCTGCCCTGGCTGCTGCTGATCACCCCCCACACCCCCGGTCCAGCCTCCACGCACAGCCAGGGACTTCAGAGAGCCCAGGTGAGACCCTGCACAAAACCTCTCCGTAGCTCCCCAGGAAGCAAGTCCCCTCTGCTCCAGCCTCTGCGACACTCTGTGCTGGGCTCTCATTCCCAAGTGCCATTACTTCTGCCAGGAAATCTCCTCCTCCAGGAAGCCCACTGCTGACTTGCAGGCCAGGTCAGGCATTTCCTCTGGATTTCCCCAGTCCATGGGCTTCTATACCCTCCATCTGACCACTCTGGGCTGTCACCCCGCCAGGCCTGAAGCTCCCTCAAGGCAGGGCCCAGGCCCATCTCAGTCACTGCTGTCCCTGGCACAGCCCAGCACCAGGTGGGTGAGGGCAAGAACTCAAACAAGCTGTAGAATCAGCGAACCCATCCAGCCCCAAAGACCCGGAAAATTTGGAAAGACAATTATGAATGTGCCATCCCAACACCGACCACTTCCTGTATCTCCTGCCCAGACCCTCTCCCCCCCCCCCCCCCCTCCACCCCAGCTCTGGGATGTGCCATGGCCAGTGGCTCCAGGTAACCCTCACTGGGTCTAAAGGTCCACAAGCCCTTTGAGCCAACTGCAGGCAAACTGCCTGGACACGGGACAGGACCTATGAGCTTCCTCCCTGGAACAGGGGGTCGAGGGCAGACCCATCCCTCCGCACCCAGCCAGGCCCCCTGGGGGAAGGCTGCAGACAACTCACAGCGGTCCGGGGGTGTGATTGTGATGGACTGGGCGGTGAACTCGTCGTCAAAGTACCTTGTGTCAACCTCAGAGGTGACCTGAGGTTTAAAGGGTGGCAGGAGCTGCGGAGGGAAGGAGCCCAGACTCAGGACTCTGGGGGCGGGAGGCCTGGGCGGAGATCACCCTCGAGTGACACTCAGGAGCAGGTGGGCGTGGGGCTCACCTTCTTCTGTACCACGTCCTGCCAGTTGACGCTGAGGAAGAACCTGTGCTCCATGACCTCCCTGGCATCGCTGGGCCCCCCGCCGAGCCTGGGCAGAGACGGCCATGAGCACCCGCCTCCCGGGCCAGCAGCTTCTGGGAGGCAGGCCTTCCGTGCAGACCCTGCGTGGCCTCTAGTGACTCTGTCCTGGCCACAGACCGCCACTCAGCACAGGAGGAAACCGAGGCTCAGGGAGGGGGCTCACAGGCCCCAGGTTAGAGCCAGGGGATCCCAACCCAGAACAGGAGCTGAGCAGGTGGGCTTGGCCACCCTCGGCCGGGCTCAGGGCTGCCGTGGCCCTCGGCATCCCCAAAGAACGAGGCAGTGTGGGCAGGGTGCTAAGGACGGGCCCGGCCCCAAGACACTCCTCCCCAGGTGCCCGCTGTGGGGACCAGCTGAGGTGCAGTGGGGATGACACACAGCTGTGCGCCTGTGGGCTCGGCCCTCTCCGGCAGGGACAGTGCAACAGGGAGCACTGGGCTGAGCAGGACAGACTCCAGCCCTCACCTCTGCTTTGGGTCCTTTTTAAGCAGCCCAGCGAGCAGGGACTTGGCCTCGGGGCTGAGGGTGCGCGGGAAGCGGATCTCCTCCATGAGGATGAGCTCGAAGAGGCGCTCGTGGTCCTGGTTGTAGAAGGGCAGGCGGCCGCACATCATCTCGTACATGACCACGCCCAGCCCCCACCAGTCCACCGCGCGGCCATAGTCGTTGTCCTCCAGCACCTGGGTGGGGAGGGGCAGTGAGGGGCCAGGCCCACAGCCGCCGGGCCACGGGGCTGACGGGGACCCAGGGAGGGACATGGTGCTGCCCGTGGCTCCGGAGGGCCATCTAGGGAACCGGAGCTGGCCCTCATGGGGTCTGCACTGGGCAACCACATGGGTCCAAGAGCCCCTCTTCCCCTGGCTGCGCGCGCACCCCCGGAACCCCAGGCCAGGCACCTCGGGTGCCAGGTACTCGGGCGTCCCACAGAAGGTTTTCATGGTGGCCCCGTCGCTGATGCCCTCTTTGCACAGTCCGAAATCCGTGATCTTGATGTGGCCATCTTTGTCCAGCATGAGGTTTTCCAGCTGTAGGAGAAGCCAATGGGTGAGGGACACGTCCTCCCAAGGCCACTGCTCCTGAACCCCACACACCCTGGCCATTCCCGGGGGGCAGCCGTGGCCCAGGGTGGTAGCCGTCGTGCCAGGGGCTCCAGGGCAGACACCGGGCACACCCCGAGACAAAGGCAAGCCCTTGAAGCTCAGAGGGAAAAAGCCAGGCAGAGAGAGACGGTGGTGGGGCCCTGGCCACGGCCCCCCACACTGCGGGCTGCAGCTTCCCCACTCTGCACGCGAGCAACGCAGGCTTTCTTTCTCCACTTCTTTTAAGCAGGCTCCGTGCCCAACGCGGGGCTTAAACGCACAACCCCAAGGTCAAGAGTCACACACTCTACTGACTGAGCCAGCCAGGCACTCCTCTTCTCCTTTTAATCAAACTTAACACAAATGGGCAATTTAGTGCACTTCTGTGTAAGCTCGACTCGGCCAAGGGAGAACATTACCAAGACCCCCTAGGACCCTCTACGGGCCCCTTCCCTGTTAGTAACCATCCCCCAGCTGAGAAAGAACTCTACTCCTTTGCTCTTCTTTAGTGTGCGCCCCTAAGTATGCACCTAAACAACACAGATGTGCTTCCCCTCAGCACGTGCCAACTGGCCTCCGACGGTGCACACCTGGGTCGCCTCCAGCTCGGGGCTGGTGTGAACAGCGCTGCCAGCAGCGTGCACGGCCACATTCAGTTCCTAGGACACAAACCTAGGGCAGAATGGCTGGCTCCCGCATCTGCTCAGCTTGTGTGGATTCGGCCAAACTATGTCCTGTGGTGCTTGTGCTAATGTTACCTCCCCCGTTGTTCCCCACACAGAGGGGCGTGTTCACCAGAGGCTCGGAGAGGCCCGTGGGACCACTGGGTGTGGGACGGCCAGCCGGGCCTAGCGGGATGCGGGAACACCCAACCGTCAGAGCCGCCCGAGGGGGAAGCGTGGGCCTGCGGGCCGAGGCCCGGCCTCCCGGTGTGAGCCCCGCAGGTGCCACGGGCCTGGAGGCGACCGCAGACTCACCTTGATGTCGCGGTACACCACGTCCCGCGAGTGCAGATACTCCAGGGCAGAGACGATCTCTGCGCCATAGAAGCGGGCCCGCTCCTCCGTGAAGACGCGCTCCCGGGACAGATGGAAAAATAGCTGCCAGGAGGGAGGAGCAGAAAGTCAGATACTGGCCCAGAGGAGCAAGAGCTGGGAGCCTGCCTCCTGGCCCCCAACACCCAGCCCAGGGACACAGTGACACATACTCCATGCACCTGCAAGTGACAGTGAGAAGAATGAAGTGAGAGACAGTGAGCAGGGAAGAACTCACGTGAGTAAACTGAGTGAGGCATGAAGGACGGTTGGGAGACGCCAAGGGGAGAGTACGCGGGGACAGCATGAGGGACAGGTGAGGGACAGCAAGAAAGCACAGGAACATGAGACATGAGCAAGTGACAATAGCTGTGGGACAGATGAAGCCAACAGTGAGGAGCCAGTGAGTGACACCTACATGCAGAAAACAGGCTGTGGGGGAGGAGGAACACAGTGACGGCGAGCGGCAGACTCTTCCCGTCAGGAGAACATGGGGAGGGGGGAGGCGGAGCGCTGGCAGGCCCTGCCCCACACACGCTTTCTTGGCAGCTGTTGAGAACGCCCTTGCAGCGTGTCGACCCCCCTCCCCGCCTCCACAGCCCTCTCCTTCCCCGCCCCCACAGCCCTCTCTATGCCTCTCTGGGCCTGGGTGTGCCCCCCACCCCGCCCACTGACTCACTAGCTGTGTAAATTTGGACAAAGCCACTTAACCTCTCTGAGCCTCAGTTTCCTTGCCTCTGAAACGGGAGATGATGCCTGTCTCAAGAACGAGGGGGCATCCAGCCAGGCCCCCTCCGCGCCTGCCCTCTCCCTCCCGCAGTACTTGGGAAGGCCACGTGGGCACCCTGATGAGGGCTGCTGCTCACCTCCCCACCGTTGGCGTACTCCATCACGAAGCACAGGCGGTCGTGGGTCTGGAAGGCATACTTCAGTGCCTGGGGGGGTGGGGGGGAGAGCAGGAAGGCAGCCGGGGTGGGAGGGGGAAGAACGCAGGCTCTCTGCTGACTCTGGGGGTATCCTCCCCAACCCTGGCAGCCAGTGCTCAAACATCAGCTTCGCCTTTTGGGGTATGTGAGTGAGCCTGTGGCTCTGAGGGCAGGGAAAGGGTTCCTGTGCCAAAGGAGGCTGTCCTCAGCCTTCAACAAAGCTTTTAAGAGGGGTGGCCAGGGAGATACTCAGTTCCGAGCCACCAGGGCCGTTTCACCCTTCTCCACAGTCAGCGTGTGGGTTTGCAGGCTGGAAGCAGGCAGCGGCCTGGGAGCAAACTCCAAAGACAGGGTGGGCAATGATGTGCCAATAAACAGTGGTTCCCAAACTATGCGCTAAGAAGCCCAACAGAAAGTTCCTCAGAGAAGTCCCACGTGACCCCTCTGCTCATGACACGTCTAACTATTCTCTGTCTTCTACACCAAAGTACTTGTGAACAGATGAACAAGTGCCATGGTTTGCTAGGACACTGGACAACAGCTGAGCTAAAGAAATGACCATCCTACACATGGTCCATTTAACTGATGGCTGCTGGCCCTGAGGGAGACCGTAGCCCAAAGGGGTGTCTCCTCAGACTAAGTTCACAGGCAGCACAAGAATACATCTCCTTACAGAATTACATTTAAAAGCAGAAACCAGGGGCGCCTGGGTGGCTCAGTCGGTTAGGCATCCGACTTCGGCTCAGGTTATGATCTCATGGTTCATGGGTTCAAGCCCCACGTCGGGTTCTGTGCTGACAGCCAGCTCAGAGCCTGGAGCCTGTTTCAGAGTCTGTGTCTACCTCTCTCTCTGACCCTCCCCTGTTCACGCTGTCTCTCTGTCTCTCAGAAATAAATAAAATATTAACAAAAAATTAAAAGCAAAAACCAAAGACTAGCATTCCCACTTCAACCAGCTGGGCTAAATGGCTAAATGGCTCTAATGCATCCAGAGCAGCCAGGCTCTCCTGGAACCACCGTGTAATGTGTATCCTCAGTTGGCTGAAGCCCTGCCATGGAGCCACCATCTGTGGAGAAGGTGCCACCCTTGGGGTTTGGTCAGGTCACCGGGGAGCCCAACACCACCTGGGTCTGGCCACCTGGCCGACACTAAGTCCATACTTCACAGTGGCAGGGCTGGGCTCCCTTCCCACGTGGCGCGCGCGGAGGCCAGGCCCCGCCTGAGAGGGAAGTACCACTCACGGTGAGGAACGGGTGCCTGGTGTTCTGGAGGACCCGGCTCTCGGTGACCGTGTGGGCAACTTCATCCTGCAGACAGAGGCTGGGTGAGGGGCCGGTGGGCGATGCCACACCTGCCCCTGGCCTGACCTAAGTGGGGGGGGGGGGGGTAATGGTTTGGGGAAAGGCAGTCGTAGTCCTGTCCAGCGCACCCAGAGTGGCGGGAGCGGAACCCTACCACCTGCCACCCGCGAGCCACAAGGAAACAACGGCCCCAGACAAGGGCAATCACAGTGGCTCCCTCTCCAAGCCATGAGGTGCGAAGTTGATGGGGACTTCATGAAGGAGGTGACAGACTGTCACTTGCTGAACCCACGTGCCAATTTTATCCCTAAGGAGGGATAAGCAGGCAGCATAAGACCCCTGAGGTGACGCCACGGACAGGGAGTTCCCACCTATAAATGTTCTTGCTGCCAAAGGGAAGCGGGTCTAATCAGGACTCTACAACCACGTGGCAGCGTGTGGTCCCCACAGTGGCAGCAGCCTGTCGCCTAGGAACTTGGGGAAATGCAGATTCTCGGGCCCCTCTCAGATACTTTGGGGTGGGCCCAGCACCAGCCTCACAGGCCCCCGGGGCGACCCTAACATGGGCTCAAGTTTGGTATCTGAGCACACAGTAGTCACCCGAGCTGCTAACAGTCCTGACCTTCCCGCAGGTCCCAGACACTGGCTCTTCCTGGGTGTGTGTGTGTGTGTGTGTGTGTGTGTGTGTGTGTGAGTCCATCTCCAGGGCACACTTGATAATAATGTCTAAAGACATTTCTGACTGTCGCGACTCAGGGGAGGTGGAGGCCAGGGTGTGGTGACTCCTCCTACAGCCCCACAGCAGAGAACGATCTGGCCCCAAATGGCAACAGTGCTAAGGCTGAGGTGGCCCGCCTTGGACCCGCCACACTGGGAGCTGTTAGTTCTGTAGGATCGTTGTTCCCTACGGTCTTTAAGATCGTCATCTGTTAAAGAGACGCTCCTAAGTATCAACAGGGGAAGTCTAGAACGTGCCTTTAAGATACTCCAGGACAAAGGGAGGGCAGACAAGATGGGCCAAACGCTGACAACTGTAGAAGCTGGATGCTGACTACACGGGAGTCCACAGTATTTATTTTTCTTTTAAAAATGCTGTGCACGTCAGGAATTTTCCATTTTAAAAACTTATTTAAAGAAAAAAAAAGAATTCCATTCTGAGCCAGCCTCCTAGTGAAACGCCCTGAGCTGAGCCCCGAGCTCAGGGTCTCCCCACAGGCCCCTTATGCCACAGGAGACCTGCTTGTAGGCCCTGATAATGTGCCTGCCGAGGAGGTGGGGGTGGGTGGGAGGGAGGGCGGTCTCAAGCTCCCCAAGGGCACAGGCGAGCGTGCTGCCCAGGGCGCACTCCCGACGCAGAGGCCGGCCAGCAGCACCCCCGGGAGCGCCCACCTTGGCAATGATGACTTCCTTCCGCAGGATCTTCATGGCGTAGTAGCGGCCGCTGGCTTTCTCCCGCACCAGAATCACTTTGCCAAAGGTGCCCTTGCCCAGAAGTTTGAGATAGTCGAAGTCATTCATGGTCTGCCCAGGAGGGGGAGAGAGTGCGGCGGTCAGCGCTTGGCCCATGGCCCACAGGAAGACATTTTAACAAAGAGAAAGGAAAAATCGAAGGACACTGTTGCCAAAATGCTCTGACATGAGCAGGGAGGGAGGCTCTGGGCAGCAACAGTTTGCTCTGAAGTGGCCTTCAGCCTGGCTCTCCCAGGCGCGGACGTGGGGGTAGACAGGTCTTCATGACCTCCTGTGACGTGGCTGCCCCTCCCCCCCATGTGCACCCCACAGGGCAGTCAGGACGAGTCCCTGCTACGCCGCTGCGCACTCTGTGTGGAGACCATGGGTGGCAGGGACAGTGTTGGGGGGGGAGGGGTACTCACAGCCTGGCTGCCTGTCCCCTGGCACTTACCACCTTGGCCCGAGCCTTGCTAACTGCCACTTCCATCTCCTCTGCCGCGGAAGAGTCACTGGGGGAGCCGCACTTATAGTCCATGGGGTCCTCACCTGGGCCCCGCTGCTTAAGGCTGTTGGCGACCATCTGAATGGCCCGCATCCACTCCTCCCTGTGTGGGGACACATCCGAAGAGCCATGAGTCCCAAGGAGCCCGGGGAAGGAAGGACCGAGCCCCCACCCTCCAGTGGGAGCAAATGATCGAACGCCTTGGAACTTTCTGACAAGATCTGTCTCAGCTGGGGAGAGCCGATGGGACAGGACTGCCATTTTACAGACCCTCTGGCTGCAGAGGGTAAGAAAGGGCAGGAGTGAAGGAAGGACAGAGGCCATCTATGTCCCAGGAGTGGCCTGGCCTGAATGCCACCTGAAGTCAGGCAGCAATTAAATGACCAAAGAGGGAGCCCACCTCTCTTCGCAGCCGCCTTAAAAACAAGCCACTGCCCTGAGCCTGGGATAAGGGAGAGACCATGCTCCTAGGGAACCCTCCACAGCAAACGACGAGCACTGTGTGTTGTAAAAGCAAACCAGGAGTAAAAGGAAGAGTTCATCGGCCAAAGGAGAGCTGAAGATCTCATAAGGCAAGACCCCTGGCGGTGGGTGTCTGCCAGGAGGGCTCAGGGATGAGGAAAGGAAGGTGGCGGACAGCCAAGCAGGTCCCTCACAAGGGAGCCTGGTTTGAGAACTATTTCTGTCACAATTTAGAATTTGTTCGGAAATAACTTTCTTTTGATACCTACTTTCTGTGTCTAGAAAGGGAAAATACACGTAGGGGAAAGAAGTGAAAATGACCAGAGACCACAGAAAAGAAACCAGGAGGCTGAAAGATACGTTTGCCGCACCCTCCCACTTCCCACCCACCACACGAGTGCAGGTGGTTCACCCCGATATGTGCTGAACCCCCTATGGATTCTGCTTATGTCTACAAAACAGCCACACGAGCGGGGAGAAAAACACAATGTTCATGAAGAATGAGAAAACTCAAGAAGCACAAACAGGCAAACTCCCAAATCACAGCAATTTAAATAAGCCTGGGCGGCACAGTTGCTTAAGCATCCGACTCTTGATCTGGGCTTGGGTCATGACCTCACAGCTCGTGAGCCTGAGTCCCGCATCGGGCTCTGAGCTGATGGCACGGAGCCTGCTTGGGGTTGTCTCCTCTCTGCCCCTCCCCTGCCTGTGTGCACTCTTGCCCTCTCTCTCTCTCTCTCTCTCTCTCTCAAAATAAATAACTGAAAAAACTTTTTTAGATAAGCCTCCGTGAGAGCGGCCAGTTGGCCACACATCTTCCAGAACCAGCCCCAGCCCCATCCCCAGGCAGCAGGGCAAGCTGTTCTTGCACTCCTGAGGCTCCAGGGCCCTGGCCTCTATCACGCAGAGAGCAAGTGGCCTGAGGAGCCAGAAGCACCCTGCTGGGCTGCGCTCAGTCTCTGCTTCCTCACGTCCAGGCAGCCCACAGCCACCGCAGTCCATCAGTCCTGCGGCACCGACCTCCTCGGGTTCTGACGCTGCCCGACTCCAGGCGCATCTTATAGTCGGTGGCCCACCTCCATTTAAGTGGGCACTGCTCTTGCTACAGAGCAGTGGTGTGTCTCCATGTGACGGCATCTTGGATGAGTGGAAGGTGGCAGCAGTGCTGGCTGCTGGGATCCACGGAGAACCATGAAGCAGCTACGCAAGGAGACCCCCCGCGGCTCCGAGGAAGGAGGCGGCAGACCTGTGTGTGTACTTGGGATGACCAGGGACACCTTAAGGGAGAAAAGAACGTGCAGAACAGTGTGGAGGGGCGCCTGGGTGGCTCAGTCGCTTGGGCATCCAACTCTTGATTCTGGCTCAGGTCATGATCTCACAGTGAGTTCGAGCCCCTTGTCGGGCTCTGCGCTGACAGCATGGAGCCTGCTTGGGATTCTGTCTCCCTCTCTCTGCCCCGCCCCCTCTCAAAATAAACCTAAAACAAAACAAAACAAAACAGTGATGCTCCTGAAGTTAGAAACAAGCAGGATTTACGCACAGAGATGTGTCCGCACACCAGCATGAACACCTTTGGCAGGGTGCTGACACAGGGCCCTGGCTGCCTCCAGGGAGGGGAGCTGGGAGTCAGGGGCAAGGAAGAGTCCAACTCCACGGTCCCCCAATTACAAACGCTTCCAGGCCACTCACCCCTCCTCCTGCATTACAGAGAGGGAAACGTAGGCACAGATTTAAAAGCCAAGATTCAGGAAAAACACAGTGGGTGCTCTGGGCCTGGTAGCTGGAATCACAGAGGGCCCATGACCTTTCAGAGGCGATGGGCAGGGTCATTCCCGCTTAGCTCCATGGCTTGCTGCGCCAAGCAGTCGCTGAGCCCAGAGGCACCAGTTCACACCCGGAAGCCCTGAGTCTCACAGTGGCCTTGCTCACAAGAGATCTGCTTCAGAAGCCAGAGGCGTGAATACTCTTAGCACCAACATCAAGGGCTGGCACGCTGGTCCCGCCCAAGGCCTACCATGGGGACCACCATGCACGTCAGGCCCGTGAAGGCAGGAAGCTCGTCTATTGGTACGTGGCGCAACGTAGTACCTGAGTATGCACGCAGGTGGGTTCCAGAGACTGAGTGAGCACAGCAGCTGAGGTTCAAGGGACCCCAGACGCAGGGTACTCGGGGGACCAATGCAACTCAGAGCAGCACTGGGTTCCTCCCTCTCTGAGCCAGTGTCTCAGGCTGCCATTTCTCAACTTGTTTTAACCCTTGACTTCTCTGGAACAAATTACAGTGGAAATCCCTATCCCCGCGTTAATATTTCTATTTTTCAAAGAAATGGCGGGGGGGGGGGACACATCTCATGATCTGCTTTATCAGATAACTGTCCTCTTAGAAGTTTTTAAATGCTGACTTCTGGTGTAAGACCATGGACTGAAAAAAATAAATCACCCATCTCCTAAGAAACATACTAAATGTATTAGAAAAAAAGACATATCTCTCATGTAGAGATCTCAAGGGACTGTCATGTGAAAAAAGCAAGTTAAAGGGGTGCCTGGGTGGCTCGGTCGGTTGAGCATCCGACTCTTGATTCTGGCTCTGGTCACAATCCCAGGGTCCTGGGATCGAGCCCCTAGTTGGGCTACTCACTGAGCATGAAGCCTGCTTGAGATTCATTCTCTGTCTCTCCCTGCTCCTTCTGCCCCTCCGTTTGTTCTCTCTCTTAAAAAAAAAAAAAAAAAAAAAAAAGGAAGGTACAGACGAAGATGCAGAGTGTGCTACCGTCTCTGTAAGGGGGGAGAACACAGTCCATCGACAGAAGTCTGGACAAATACATGACACATCCCCAGTACAGGAGCACCAGAAGCAGTTGGAAGGGGCCTCTCTGGGCCGAAGAGCTGGGGACGAGGAGCATGGGCTCCAAAGCCGCACCGGCTGGGGCTGGAATAGCAACCCAGCCACCAGGGCCGGCTCATCCCTCGGCTCGGGAGACCATGCACGGAAGGCGCAGGGGGCTGCTGTGTACACGGCACGACACACAGCAAGTGCCGGCGCTGAGGAAGGTGTGAAGGACGCTGGGAGAGGCCTGGACCTGTCCCAGCCACCCTGGCTCACACTGCCCAGCCCCACGGGGAGCCAAGGAACCCAGAGACTTGTAGGAGGTTGTTCAGGGCTCTCCCACTGCTGGACAAGCCCCCGGTCCGGTTCCAACTGGGCCAAGATTGCAAGGTTGCGGCACAGAATTCCAGAGAAAAAGCAAGGGCCTCCGTCCAGGATACTCCTTAAGGGTTTGCAACATGGTGTCTGGGGCAGAGGGGAGCTGCCACCCACTGCTGGGGCCGTCGTGCGTCCATCCCTCAAAGGAGAGCCCCCAGGGGAACTGACCCCCTTCCCCTAGAGACATGATGAGAAACATAAAAGCTCCACAGACACCAGCTCATTCTATACTCATTGGGAACACTGGAGTGTGTATGTGTGTTTGGGGGGGAAGGTTATTTCTGATGCGGAAACCAAGGCGCAGAGAGGTGGAGTCACTTGTGGGGGGCACACAGCCAGGATGGGGCCAAGCGGAGCCTCATAGCCAGGCCCCCGCACCCCTTCGGGCACCATGCTACCACTCCCTGCTGAGAGTTATAACTTCCTTCCCAGATGAGACCCGGGGGGTCATGCAGGGCGCAGGTGGGTAGGGGAGGCTTAGGGGATGGGGGACACAAAGCCGCAAGCCCAGGAGTAGAGCGGAGCGAAGGCAAGTGGCCCCCTGGGAGTTCTGCCTAGGCCACCTTTGTGAGCGGGCCTCTCTTGCTATGCGACACAAGCACCCTCCACTTGCAGAAGCTCCTCCAAGTGCTTTACGAGACGTAAGCCCTGAGCTGCCCCACAAGCCTCCCGAGTAGGTGCTGTATGCCCTCCATTCTATAAACGGGGGACTGATGCACGAGCCAGGCATCGACCCCGTTACACAGCCAGCTAGCGGAAGCCCCAGGACACAGGCCCAGGTGTCCCTACCGCCCTCACAGCATTTCTCCCATCAAGAGTACTTTCAGAAACCTTCTTCTTTTAATGTTTACTCATTTTTTGAGAGAGAAAGAGAGAGAGAACATGCAAACACAGGAGGGGCAAAGAGAAAGGGAGACAGACTTGGAAGCAGGCTCCAGGCTCTGAGCTGTCAGCACAGAGTCTGACACGGGGCTCAAACACACAAGCTGCAGGAGTGCGACCTGAGTTGAAGTCGGACGCTCAACCACTGAGTCACCCAGGCGCCCCAACAGGAACCTCCTTATTCCTCACGTGGGCTCTGGGGCCACGGGAGGTACACAGGGGAGTCACGCGCCCCCAGGCAGCACTAGGGCCGGGCTGGGAGCAGGCAGCTGGGCCTGGAGCTCAGCTCCACTGCGAACTGGCCACGGGGCCCTGAGGACCCTCATTCCTTGAGCCTTGGTCTGCCTCCGTGCACAGCACAGTGGCCGAAAGCACACACTCTGGAGCCAGTGGCCTGGTGCGAATCTGAGGTCTGTCCCTGCCGGGTGCCAATGCCGGCCATCTGACGTTCTTGTGCCTCAGCCGGTGGACATGTGGGGCAGGGACCAGAGGGCCATGCGCTGAAGGGCAAAACGAGCAAGAGACAAAAAGTGCTTAAGGCATAAGCACTTCAA